ATTTGCAGGATTTTGGAAGTGATGTGGAAAAGTGACATGAAAAGGTTTGGAGCTGTAGGCTAGCACAACCTTAGAATGCTGTAAACAGAGCCTCGTGGGATATTCTGGCAGGAGTGTGGCAGACCGGATGTTGCGATAAAGGAATATTCCCTCATCTGAGAGACAAGGAATGAGTTTCAAATGGCAGCAAGGATTTTTTTTTTTCAGGAATTGAACTAGAGGACATTTGTGTTATATTCTGACAAAGAATCTATGTTCTTCCTGTGTCCTGAAAGTCAAACTGATGCTGAATTAAAAAGTAACATACCAATTTGTTTGGTGAAGCAAATTTCTAGCCAGCGCAGCAGCAGACAATAGCAGTTACTGTCCCATGCTTTTAGCCACAGTACAGTGATAGGCAGCAGAAACTAGAAAAGAAATGTTTCAAAAGTGTGTAGTTTGATAAGGAAAGGAACCTGAGTTCAGTCGTCGTCAAAGCAACTGTGGAAAGAGCTGGGATAATTAATAAAGATATTAGTACAATTAAAGGAAAATCTCACATTCTGTATGAGGCCAATAGAAATGGTAAGATTTCTTGAAGGCAAGATCTCACTCAGCAAAGACTCCACCTAACCCATCCAAAGGGGACCACTTGGGGGAGTGGTTTCTCAGGGTCAGCTATGCAGGTGCTCAGAAGCCCCCGGAGCTATGTTGAAGACAGACATCTCAAGCTGGCGGCAGAACTTAACAGCAGCAGCTGCATGGTGCTGGCTTTGCAAGCATGCACAATACACTGGTTATCAGGTTAAAGAGGCTTGTACCGAGGTCTAGAAAACCACTGAGGGAAGGCATCGTGTAGAAGAGTAGGATTCCTGCATGGAGCTCCTGAGTAGACTCTGCATGGATCAGTGAGGGTGAAGCCTAGGATGCAATGAAGATCCCAAGATGCTGTAGGACTGCCCACAATCCTACATCTGCTGAAGAAAAAACTGTAAGCACTCTGGGCAAGGTAGACTGCCGGGAGCAGAGCTGTGTAGGTTGGACTCCCCAAACCCACAGGAACACAGATGACATTGCCAAATCCCCGAGGAACTAGACACAGAGCTGAAAACTACTTCTGTCCCTTCTTCCCACAATGCCTGAAACCCCAAGGCTCACTACCAGGAATCACAACCGTATTTGCCTTCTAAGGCATTGGGTTGCTTGGACCACACAACAGATGAACTTTGTTGACTTGGCTAGCCTTGCTTCGGTCCCATTTTCCCCGGCTATACTTTTGTTCCTCCCCTTCGGAAGGGCCATGTTTACTCTGTGCCAGTATATTTTGAAAGCATATATGTTTTTTGTTTTACAGATGTTCACAGTTAAAAGACTGCCTGATCTTGGGAAAATTCTTTTGGACTTTGGATTATTCTTAAAAGATGTATTTATTTGCATTTCTGAATTTTTTCTTAAAAGATGTATTTATTTGCATTTTATAAGTGAATGTTGTCTTCATGTATGTGTATGTATATGTATCACATGTGTGTTGTGCTCATGCGAGGCCAAAAAGGGGCATTGAATCTCCTGGAACTACAATTCCAGTTTTGAGCTGTCTTGTGGACACTGGAGACCAAACTTGGATCCTCAGGAAGAGCAGCAAATGCTCTTAACTACTTTGCCATCCCTCCAGCCCCAAGATTTTGGACTTTTTGATCAGTGTTGGAACTCTTAGGACTTTGGGGGCTTTTGCAGTAGTAAAATGTATCTTGCATTATGAAATGGCCATGAGCCTCTGGGGCCAGGGTGGAATGCTGTGGTTTGAATGTGAAATAGACTTCCAGACGTGTATATTTAAGCACTAGGTGCTCAGCTGTTGGCATCTCTCGAGAGGCTGTGCATCCTTTTGGACACAGAGCCAAGATAACAGGTGTAGGGCCTTATGGTTAGGACTTAAGGGCTATAGTCTGGCACACTTCTAGCCTGAGTCCTCTGCTTCCTGACCCTCAGAGAGGTGAGGGAACTATACCACAAGATCTGGCAAACCCAGACTGGAGTGAGCCCAGCCACCTTGTCTTTCCACCATTATGGACTGTACCCCTTTATACCATGAGCCAAAACAAGTCCTGTTCCCCTAATGTTTCTATCACATATTTTTCCAGAAGGACAAGACAAGTAATTAAGATGGCGGCTAAGAAGCCAGACTGACACATTTATCATTTTTGGGCTCATCATAAGATCCTGTCACGAGACAGTTGCTAGGACAGAGGACTAATGGTTCCAGCTAAATGTAGAGCCATCAACATTGCTACATGCTTTGAGAAGAGTCCAAAGGCTGTTTTAGCTAAAAACACAACCATCTACTTCTCTCCTCGCTCCCACAAAACCCGGAATCCCAAAGAGTAGTTATCAGGGATCATCTTTTCCTTACTAAGGCATTAGGTTTCCTGAACAGGCAACAATAAAAAGGTCTTTGTTGACTTGATTATCCAACCAGAGGAAGAAGTGGCATGTGGACCTTAGGGACTGGGAAAATCAGAGCCTGAAGCATGTTTGACACAAGGGGGCAGGAGAGAGCGCTGATACTCTAGGGTCTAGAAGGCTGTTACATCCTGTACTGGGGAAAGCGCCTCTCTCTTAATCAGGGTTGGGTAGTCATAGGTAGAGAAGCTCCCTATATGAGATCAGATTTTGATTCCTGATTCTTTCATCATGGCTTCTAAGGCTGTCCTTACTTAAGTTAGTAATTTTGAGCAATGTACTTAATCTCTTTGCATTTTTCATCTGTGCAATGGGAACTAAGGGACCTACCTTGAAGGACTATTGGGAGGACTGGATAGGTAGCCCCGTAGACAGATACTTGCCTAACTTGTGCAAAGTCCTAGGTTCCCCAGTGCCACATAAAGCCAGATTTGGAGATGCATGTCTGTGACCTCAGCACTTGGGAAATAGAGGCAGGAGAATCAGAAGTTCAAGGTGATTCTTGACTACATAGAAAGTTTGAAGCTAGCCTGGGGTACGTGAGACCATGTTATGTTTTGTTTTATTATTGTGAGGAATTAATGAAACCTATGTTTCTCATTAGTATGGTACCAAACACATGGTACTCACTTAATAAATAAATTCAATTCTAATAGTTATGATGGAGGTGTCTGCTGCCCTTTAAGACTCATTGAAGCTGATCCTTGTAGATTTCTATTTTTGTTTGTTTGATTTTTTTTGTTTTGTTTTTTTATGAGATAGGGGTTCTCTGTGTAGCCCTGGCTGTGCTGGAACTCACTCTGTAGACCAGGTTGGCCTAGAACTCAGAGGTCTGCTTGCCTCTGCCTCCCAGTGCTGGGATTAAAGGCGTGCGTCGGTGCCCCTCTTTTGATCCTTGTGTTTGTTTGTGTTGCACACTTGTCATTTCCCAGTTATGCTGTTAATTCCTGGAGGGAAGTTTGGTATCTGGTTCACTTGCCTCTTTCTGAATTTACCCTGTATCTTGTCCATGGCAGATATCCCATAAACCCAAATCTCCATGGATGAATGCCTGAAAACACATGTTCAATTGCTTTGCAATCCAGTAACTTTCCTTAGAGGTTTGTCAAAATGGCCCAACTGCTGCTGTGCCAAGTTAAAGGGACAAAACTCAGGACAGTAAAGTAGCCAGCATGTTGGTGTGAGAGCTGCTTGCACGTTTGGATGGGATCTCCAGCCAGGCCTAGCAGAAGCGAGTAAGCAGCAAATGCCCCTTGAGAAGCAGTTTGATTGGCCCAGCTAGACAAAGGCCAAATTCTAGATCATAGATTTCTGCTCAGTGACTAATGGTGGGTGATTCATGGAAAGGGAAGAACCAAACCTGATTTCATAATTATTGGAGCAAGGAAGGGGCCAGAGCAATCGGTGCGGAATTGACATTTGTGTAGGACAACATTAGTCTTTCCAAATGACTCAACCTTAATAGTTATATCTTTGATCCTCTGAGCAACATATTCAGGTAAGACAGAAATTGTCACAGGCCTGACATGCCTTTTCCTCATTTTCCCTGTTCTGAATTACTAACTTCACACCTGTCAGCAGGCATTCCTATATAGTGAAGTGTCATTTTAGAAGCCCAGCTAAGGGCCAGGCACGACTTGTACCTGTAGAGGTACCAGACGGATCCCAGGGAGCATGAGGAGACAGCTGTGGTGTCCTTGGCCAGCATGTATGCAAGCAACTCCCACTGCCCTCTCTCCCCCTGGCCTATTGGTCGCCTCTTGTTAACCCTGAAATCTCCTCTGAGATGTCACCTTCTCTGTCAAGACGTCCCCGAGAGCCCACACTGACATGCTAGCCCCCACCGTGCTACTTTGAGACTGTCTTCTTTGTCTCCACCATGCTCTGAAATTCTTGGACAACCTGAGGGGTTCAGTGTCGGTGGGGAGGATTATTTCATTTCGATTTACTTTTAATCCTTAGTGATGATCACAATTCTCATATTGGTATTTAGACAAAAGAAAAAGTTGAAAAATAATAAGAAAGGAGATAAGAGGAGTGGTTCAGTAAGGCAAGAAAAAAAGCGCTGTTTGAAAGTGTTTTCCCCAGGAGGCCTGACTCTCCATGGCTGTTCTAATCCGGGAGGAGGGGTGTGCAGCCCTGTGTGTGTAGAGATAAAGGGATAGGTTGAGAGCCCTCAGTTATCAGCCCAGAGGCTTTATTGGTAGTGCAAGTGAGTTGGGTTGTCAGGGTCTTCTCTCCCTCAGAGGTTCTGAAGGCTTCTTCAGGCATTACCCATTTAGCCCCAGTCCAGTGAATGGTCTTTGGGCCTTCACCCAAGACCAGAGCATCACACTGTATATTGCTTACAAGTTGAGGTTACCTGTAAAATTTCATCCTTGGCCACAGGGCTGAAGTCTTTTCCAGGTTGTAATTCCTAGGGATTAGATAATGGTGTTGGAGAAAATAGTGGGATGGATGCATTGAGTATGGGGCGAGGACGCTGGTATGGGGTGTCAGTGGAATGCAGTTAATATAGCCTGTCGTCTGTGACTCTCACACTCTCTTTGCTTCCTTCTCAGGGACTCACTCTCTGAGATATTTTCGTCTGGCTGTTTCACACCCTGGCCCTGGAGTCCCTGAGTTTATCTCTGTTGGGTACGTGGACTCACACCCTATCACTACATACGACAGTGTCACCCGGCAGAAGGAGCCAAGGGCTCCATGGATGGCAGAGAACCTGACACCTGATCACTGGGACAGGTACACTCAGCTGCTGAGGAGCTGGCAGCGGACATTCAAGGAGGAGCTGAAGGGCCTACAGAAGCACTACAACCACTCAGGTGTGATGGCAACAGATGAACACTCTTGCTCACTGACTACTTCTGGGGAGAAAGGCCCCAGGCTGCCTCAGGCCAACGTGGCACACATTGCTCACACCCTCTGTAGTCTCTGGCAAAACCCAGAAAATTAGGTGACTGGGTTTCAGTGCCCACCATTTTCCTGTGGCTCTTACACACTATCCTTTTAAGAAAATCGTTTGTCCCTTGTCCCCATATTCCTATCCATTGGCATCCAACAATTTTCTCTCTTCTCATTCTAAATTTGCCCATTTTGGGTCTTATTTTCTCATGGTTGGGCTTCCTGATTTGCTGATTTCTGCACAGAAACGTATGATATGAATTGTCCCAGAGATATTTCTGGCTCCTGCGTGTATCTCTTGCTCCTACACTGCACTCAGAATAGCTGGGAGATTTATCAATGAATCATTTCAAAGATAGGCTAATTCCCCAAGGCAGGCATCATCGTGACCCTTTGGCATGCAGTAAGTACCCCATCAATGTCTGTTAGTATGTGGGTCTGCAAAACAGGAACCTTCTGGATCCCAAATATACAGGCCTGTGAGGTGGTGTCTTCCGGAGCAAAGAGTGCTTGCTTCCGACCATGCTCCAGTTGCATCATCCGAGAAGCCCCCCATCTCTGCTTTCACCCGTGATTCCACAGCTTGTGTGTGTTTCAGGGCTTCACACTTACCAGAGAATGATTGGCTGCGAGTTGCTGGAAGATGGCAGCACCACAGGGTTTCTCCAATATGCATATGATGGACAAGATTTCATCGTCTTCAATAAAGACACCCTCTCCTGGGTGGCTGTAGATAATGTAGCTCAAATCACCAAGCAGACATGGGAGGCCAACCTGCATGAGTTGCAATACCAAAAGAACTGGCTGGAAAAGGAATGCATTGCCTGGCTCAAGAGGTTCTTGGAGTACGGAAAAGATACCCTAGAAAGGACAGGTAAGGAGGAGAGAGAACCTTGCTCTCACATCCCTAGAAAAACTGGCTTTGTGTCTAACTTCCTCTTCTGCAGGTGCTATTTACTCTGTGCTGAAATCCATCTCTTGGTTGGACTGTTCTGACCTATAAACCCCTAAGAGAATTCTCATTAGTTGGTATTTTTAGCAGCATCTTGACAAGCCTTAGCAGTTCCACTTGTCTTGACAGAATGTGGTGCCTCCAAGGGCACCTCTATCAAAAAAAAGTCCTCCGTCTCCTGCCAGGGAGAGGCTGGGAAAACTTTTGAGAGTGGGCCAGTTGTTAGAAATTATTTAGGAAGCAGGGTTCACTGAGTGAGAGTGAAAAGCTGGCCTATGAGGAAGGGCTTAGGAAGACTGGCTTCCTAAGAAACTCAGGGATTAACAGGACGATTCTTCTGGATACACAGCTCGTCTCCTGCCGTAAATACACGAGCCTTTTGGTCAACTTCAACAGAACGCAGAATGTTTGGTGTTCGATGGGATGATTCAAATATTTCCGGAAATCCCTAAACACTGTTGACCTTTCCTGGAAGAGTAATGTCTAACCGGAGGGACTTTGCAGAGCTGGGACAAGCCCGGGGTGGAGATGATGGGTCTGGACCGCAGTTGTAAGCATGTGCTGTGTGTCTAAACATGCAGGCTTTGGAGGTGAATGATTAGAGCCTTGCGGTGGCTTCCTCCCTACTTGCAGAGTAACTACCATAGCTATGCTCAATGGCTGCCGTTAACACATCTGCTTCTAACAGACTTGAGCAGATCCTATTAGAAAACAGGAATCAGAACGGCATGGAGACCTAAGAAACCAAACCATGTTTGAAAGCTTTTCTCCATGGGAAGGGTGGAGGCAGGGGATGAAGGGACCAGCACAAATGTCACATCTTCACGGCTTCTCCATTCTGCAAGACAAGCTACTGTTTCTGAGTACTTGTTACCTAAATAAATAAATCTCAAGAGAACTGTGACTGGCCTGAGTTGGATCATTTGTGACCTCTTTACCTAATCACTGTGACCACCAGGAAAACTTCAAAGATCTGCACTGGGCAACAAAGTTTTGGCAAAGACTAAGGGCACAGTCAACATGGTCTAATTGAGGAGATTCAACCAGGGATCCTTCACAAGGGGTCTAGTGGGGATCCCAACAAGGGGTGGTGAAGATTCTGGAGAGATGAAGTATGAGAACACCTTTGCCCCAGTACGAGGCAGGAAGAGGAGACGTCGCTAGCAGAGCCCAGCAAGAGTTGGTTTGTTGAAAGGGGATCCTTAAGGTGAAAGGTGTGGCCACAGGCAGGACTGCAGCCTGGTAAGACCGGTACTTCCTCAGCTGCTGCTCTCTGCTTGAGGCAGTCCAGCTGGAAACTAGGGGCAGAACAGTTCCAGAGAGAGTGTGAAGGCCTAGACAGACCACAGAGGGTCAGAGGCTACATCCGGGGGCCACAAAGAGACCCTGGCTGTTGCACGCTGTTTGAGTGATGGTCGAAGAGGAATTAAGATGAACGCTTCATCTGAGCCCATGTTATAGAGGGGTGCATTTATGTCCCCAAACGTGCTGTTATTTGGCAGGAGGAGTCTCTCCTGTCAGGAACAAGTGAAGCTTCTAGAAGGTAGGCCAGCTAAGTCACAGTTTTGAGTAAAATAGGGTAATAGTGCCTACTTTAAAGAAGTTAGTGAGAATAATATGGATGAAAACACATGCTAAGCTTTTGACTCTGCTCACATGTGGATTGCGTTGGGGTGGGCTACTCAGTCTAGGGGTTGTAACCCACCCCGCAATCAGGTTACTCCAGGGTCTCGGAGGGGCGCTACCTGGAAGGGAATGAGCTAAGACAGAAGAAGGAGGCCAAGCAGTTTTGTCAAAGCCTCCGTTTGTTAGGGACGGGTTACAGTTTATATATGGTAAGGAATGGGGGGCAGGGTAACTGGATTCTTGCCGCGTGTTCCAGGTCACGTAGGCCAGGAGGTAGGCTAGGAAGTCAAGTGGCCGCCACACCTGGTTCCCTGGATAGCTGGAATGTGAGGCGGGTTCCGCTAAGAGATTGCTGCTAAATGGGTGAGGGGCATTCTGCAGACTCCCCAGGGTGATGGTTCCTGTAATGATTGTTAGTGGGGAAATGGCTCCTGACACTCACATATTAAATATTACTGTTGCCTGACTGAAATGTCTGATAGCCTAGATTTGGCCAGTCTTGGCCACCCTTAACCACTAAGATGCTTTAGGCTGAGTCTTATCAGATAGGAAAAGGAGAAATAGTTTGCTTTCTGATGTGAGGATGTCTGCCACATAGCTATATCGGTTTGACAAATAACTTAAAAGTAGAAAAAAACTTTTTAAAAAAGTAGGAAAGGTTGTTCACAATTTCAGAGGTTTGGGTCCATCCTGATGGGAAGGGTGTGGCAAAGCAGTTTACGTCAGAGTGGACAGGAAGCAGAAGGGAGAAGAGCCAAGGCAAGATACAGCTGTAGTGCAAATTCTAAGTGGTCTTAATAATAAAAACCAAGAGTCAGATATGGGGGTGGGGGTGAAAGCTGAAAGATCAGAGAAGCAGAGCAACTAGCCAATCCTCAGACCGAATGGAGTATCCTGTGTCTACAAGTCCTCAGACTAAATGCTCAGAGCTCCTGTCTCCTCCCGCCTTATATTCCAGTCTCTGCCCAGTCTATCACTCCTGTCTCCACCTCCCTAGTGCTGAGATCACCTTTGTGTGAGCTCTGTTTCTTTTAGACTGGTTCAATCTTGTATAGCCCAAATGGCCTTGAACTCACAGTGTCTTGTCTCCTGAGTGCTGCAATTAAAGGTGTGTGCCACCACTGCTTGGCCTCTATGGCTAACTAGTGTGGCTAGCCCCGCTCTCTGATCTTCAGGCAAGCTTTATTTGTTCCAGCACAAAATATCACCACATACAGCCCTCAGGGATTCCCCACAGGGACCTACTTCCTTTAGCTAGACCCCGCCTCTTAGCATTTCCAGAATCTGGCAAAATAACACCAACATCTAGAAAGCGTGGATTCAACACATGAGCCTGTGAGGGACATTTTATGTTCCAAGCACACCAGCAGCTTTTGTCCCAAGTTTCCTGGTCTGCTGCTTGTCCTTGCATCCCTGGGCAAATAGTAAGAAAACACAGAGTCACTAAGAATTGAGGTTTAGAGGCCACTAGCTAATTTTGTTGGTTCTGCTTGGCTCGAAAACTCTGGATCAATTAAGAGGAACCTGGGTTGTATGGGAAGAATGTGGAAAGTTTGACTTAAGTGTATGTGATTCCCATTCCCTAACTTGAGTCACAGAGGTATCTCAGCCTTTGGTAAGAACCTGTGTCTTGGGAGGTAGATTCATTTCTTGCAAGCATAGTAAAATAAGTAAACAAGCAAATAAAATTAATTAATTAATTAAATACTCTTGGCAGTATTCTATTTTGTATGTTGGAAAGACTTTTCCTACAACTAAACCCCATGCCTCAGGTTAAAGACAAGGGAGGTAGGTCTGAGATGAAGGCTCTTACCTGTATCCACAATGTAAGGCAATAAAGACAGAGATAAGGAGGCAAGTCTCACAGACGGGTAAAAAGGTCCTCCGGACAGTGTGCTTGGTTTGGATACGGCTCCATGACCAGGTCGAGCTGGAAATGTTAAGACAACACCATATGGAAGGTGAAAGAGGAAGCAAGCTCACCAATGGATAACCCTGGACGGGGCATGGTGGTACATACCTGCAATCCTAACATTCAGAAGGCTGAGGTAGGGAGATTATGAGTTCAATCATCTTTGGGCATAGAGATGATGTCCCCTCCCTCTCTCGTCATTGTTAGAGCCCTTCTGTGATATTAACTTCTGTAGCTTCTCTGAGGGCACATGAGCTATGACCTGTGCTTGTATCGGATTGCGCCTATCAGAGTACCAATCTGATAGTACAGCGCAGTTCAGAGCCCCATGGACCTGGAGTTAGCTGTGTGTTTTTATTGTCACCAAACACAGATCAGGGATCTGTTGCATTCTACTCTCCAATCTCTTGGTGAATTACTTATCAAGACAATCATTTGCACATGTTGTGACTTACTTTTCCTTGTCACACAAGGGTATTTCAAAGGTGCACAGTTGGCAGCTCTGATACTCTCTCCAAACACTTGAAGCTATCTGCCCCTTTTTCCCTCCAAAACAAAACGAGGTTCACCTCCATGTGTTCCCCAGCCTATTCCATAGAAGAAAGTCTACAAAATACATATTTGCTGTTGATGAATCTGGGCTCTGGTTCATTCTCAGTCTGAGATATTTCTTGCTGCAAAGAAAGTTAACAGGAGAACATGTCTCTGTTTGAATACTCTATGTTCAGTGCTCAAGATCCCCCACCTCACTTTCCTGTGGCTGCTTCTCTCTAGAACCTCCAGTGGTAAGAACAAGTCGAAAGGAAACGTTTCCGGGGATTACAACTCTCTTCTGCAGAGCTCATGGCTTCTACCCACCAGAAATTTTTATGACGTGGATGAAAAATGGGGAAGAAATTGCCCAAGAAGTGGATCACGGAGGAGTGCTTCCCAGTGGGGATGGAACCTATCAAACGTGGGTGTCGGTTGATCTGAATCCTCAGAGCAAAGACATTTATTCTTGTCATGTGGAGCACTGTGGCCTCCAAATGGTTTTTGAGACTCCTCAGGGTAAGTGTGGGGGCGATGACTGTCTGGGGAGTAAGTCTGAGGAAAGAGATAAGAAGCTGTGACGCTGCCAGGAAGGGAGAATGGGTCACTGCCTCACCAGGTGGGCGGAACAATAGCGACAGTCTTTTCTTTTAATGACTATTAAAGTTTTTATTTTTATTCTCTCTCTTTCTCGCTCTCTCTGTCTTGGGAGTCAGAGGCAGGTGAATCTCTGAGTTCGAGCCCAGCCTGGTCTATAGAGAGTGTTCCAGGGCAGCCAGGACTACACGTAGAAACCCTGACTTGGGACTAAATAAGTAAATAAATAGAAGATAGTGTAGGCACATAGTCCACTTGTCACCAGATGATGAGGGAGAAGAGATGATGGCGGAGCTTCCTGGTGATCACAGTGATGCAGTTAATGCAGACAGAAGAAGCAACTTGGAGGTTTTTCTCATTTGCTTACAGAATCTGAAATCGTTCTAGTAGTGAACACGGTCTCTGGGACCATAATCCTCACCATTGTCCTGGCTGGAGTTGGCGTTCTGATCTGGAGAAGAAGGTCTCAAGGTAAGAGGCATGAAGGGCTCTAGGGAGCTGCTTGTGGTCCCCTTGCTGCAGCTCCCAAGACTTTTGTTTACTGTGTCTGCCATGTTGGTTCCATTTAGAAGCTGCTCAACCCTCATGTTGGGATCACCGGAGGGCCTGGGACAATTTCCCCCTGTATGGAGAAAATATCTGTTAATTGTCCCACTTTTCACAACCATTCTTCTATCTGAATTAGAAGAAAGTCCTCCTCCTTCAAAATTCACTTCTCAGACATGAAATGTTTACAAGTAGATGCCTTTGGAAAATTGGGCTTGAGATAAGGAACGGGGAAGGAGAAGCAGGAGAAGAAGGAGCTTTTGATGGCACAGGCGACAAACCCATTCCTTACAAGTGCACTAAATGTCTAGTGTGTTTTTTGAGCTCCATTCTGGCTCGTGGGAAACAGCAATGGAAAAGACAGAATGGCCCCATGTCACAGAGCTAATGGCATAGTCTTGAAAGGTCATTTTCTATGTCTGATTTACTAGTTACTCAAGCTGATCACAGCAAATATCAGTGGCACCTGGAGAAGGCTTGACAGCCAAGGACTTGAGACCAATCCAAGGGATACTGTACGTGTGTGGTACTAGGTACTTGTAGGACCAATCCATTTGTTGTTGGTTGGTTCTTACTCTTTGTTCTCTTGGCCCTTTGGGGGCCTACCACCCAGCTCTCAAATAAATCACACTCAGAGGCTTATTTTTTCTTATGAATGCCCGGCCTTAGCTTGGCTTGTTTCTAGACAGCTTTTCTTAGCTTATCCAGTCTACCTTTTGCCTCTGGGCTTTTACCTTTCTCTATTTTTGTATTTCTTTCTTTACTTTTTTCTCCATGACTTGCTGTGTAGCTGGGTGGCTGGCTCCTGGAGTCTTCCTCCCCTCCTCTTTTTCATTTCTTGATCTTTTCCTCCCAAATCTCTCCTATTTATTCTCTCTGCCTGTCAGCCCTGCCTATCCTTTCTCCTGCCTAACTACTGGTTGTTCAGCTCTTTAGTAGACCAATCAGGTCTTTTAGACAGACAAAGTAACACAGCTTCACAGAGTTAAAAATACAACATAAAGAATGCAACACATCTTTGCATCATTAAACAAATGTTCCACAGCATAAACAAATGTAACACACCTTAAAATAATATTCTACAACATCTATTTGCTAGAAAACCAACTAAGATAGCTGGTGGATAAGTAATGTTTCATTATAAATATAGTACAATCTGAATCCTAAACCAATTAATACATTCATCTTAAGAAGAAAGCTCCTGCTTTTTTATCTTCTGGAGTCTGTAAATTTTGAGTTAAAATTTGTCAAGTTCTAAGAGAATCTTGAGAAAGGCTAAAACTGTCAGTGGTTGCTTCTAGGTTTGCAGAATATTGTGTAAGTTTTGAGCTGTGAGGAAAAACACATGTAACTGATTAAAAACCTCTCTTCCTTTCAGGGTAAAAAGAAGCCGACTACCATTCCACTCCAGACAATGAGTGCGGTTCTCCCTCCTAGGAGCCAGGATCTCTGCTCTCAGGCCCCAACACGTTTGTTGTCGGAAGCCTTGGCCAAACTCCTGACACAGGGGGGATTTAGAGAATTGAGCGTTTGTGACAACAAGACAGGAGCTACCAGTTTTTCTTTGTTCTTTGGTTCCTGAAGAGCTGTCAACTTTCAGGCTCTTTATGGACTGACTCCTTTATCACCGTCGACGTTGAATACACTCTGTCTCACGACCCAATACTTCCCAACATCCTATGTCTCCATGATGATTTACAAGTAGATTACAGAGTCTCAGAGATGCAAGGAACTTCCTCACTGTAGCAGGAGACGTCTTCCTATAATGCCACAGATGTGAGCATCCAGCCTCCACTTGACACCATGTGAGGATCCCCCATTCCACCACAAGACAGCCTTTCTTGTTCATTTTCTCTCCTGAGAATGTTTGCCATGTAAGAACCTTGACTATCATGGCTTTGACTGTGAATCTAGGGTTGGACCAACCCATGAGAACAGCCAGCAAGTTTTCTAAACAGTCTGAGAATGGGCTAGTCATTAAACACATATCATGGCCCAAGAGGAAACAGAAGCACCATGTTCAAGGCGGCTCTGCCAGAGAGCTTGGGATATTGGAAATGTGTCTAGCTATAGCAATGACTTCACTTTTTATTGCTTCTGTGGGAAATTAGAACAATAATTTATACAGCTGAATGTGATGGGACTCCTATAAGCCCAATACTAGGAAACTGAGGCAGATGGATTTTAAGTTTGGGGCTAGCTTAAGCTACACAGTGAAACTATCTAAAACAAGCAAAAACAAAACCAAAAGCCCTTAACAGAACAAAACCAGTAATTACCAGACATATTATCTCCTCCAATGGAACTACAGAGAACTCCAGTCACTTGTAATATTTGAATGTGAAAATAATGGCATTTAGTTGGGGATGGCTCAGTGGACAAAGATGCCTGCCACCTAGCCTGAGGCCCTGAAATCAGTGGTCAGGACTCAGAAGCTGAAAGAAAGAAAACCACTCCCGAAAGTTGTCCTCTGACCTCTGCATGAGTGTCATGGCACAAAATCTGCCAAATAAATAAATGTAAAAAAATTCTTATAAATATGATAGTATGTTTATGTCTCAAAGAGTCCTCCCTGTTGTGTCATCCCCATCCCATCCCATTGTCCCCGTCCCCCCCCCCCTCCCCAGCCCCTCCCTTTCACGCTTTGGTGTCGGAGACTGAATTAGTACAGAAAAGACAGAAATTAGAATTGAACTTTTGGGGGCTGAGGGTGTAACCCAGTGGTAGAGAGCTTGCTTAGCAAGTGTGAGGTCCTGGGGTCTATCTTCAGCACTGCAAACACACACACACACACACACACACACACACCAACAAAAGCTAAAACTTTAGATTTTTTTGTAAATGGTTTAAAATTATATTGTTTCTTAATACTCTTAGGCTTGTGATTTAATTAACTCATGTTTACTGATTACAAATGTTCAGTAGCCAAGGTCTACCAACAAGGCGGCATCATAATCTAAGTGTGACAGAGAACTTCCCTCCTCCAGTCAGGCTTAGGCTCTGAGTTGTCTTTGCTGAATATTTTAGATCGAGAGCGCTGCATGAAGAACCTGTTTGACTGGTTTTGTTTTAGACTCCACTATGTTTATTATCTGTTTTCTTTTTTTAGCACGTACAGACCAAGGTTTGTCCAGAAAAATGGCAAACGCAGCAGGTAAGAAGGGAAGCAATCTGAAGGAGTGATGTGGGGACTGGGCACGTTGTTCAGTTGCTAGACATTCAGAAGGTTCAGTACCTGGGCCAGCATAAAACTGGGTGTGACAACACATGCCTGTAATCCCAACACCTGGGAGATGGAGGGAGAAGGAGCAGGGGTTCAAAGTTCCTCAGCTACATAGGGAATTTGAGACCAGATTGGGATACATGTGGTCCTGTAACAATTATAACAACAAAATAAAAGCAGTATGGTGACAGGTTTCTCAATGTCCTTCTTAACCTCTTGTTCCAACAATTTCCATGTTCCGACCCCTCCCTTATCTCTGAGGAACTGCCGCCCTTTTCCTCTTCTCGCTGTTTTTGGATGGAGAGAAGAGAGGAGTGGTTTTGCTTTGTGTCATCAGGTCCCTTAGTTGGTCGTTTTTCTGGCAGGGTTCCACGAGGTCGTCATATTCTGATCCCCCCCAGTCTGAAGCTTTGTCCTCATCTGTGCAGGTCAAGTGTACCCATGAGGGAATCAGATGGGTGCATAAGAAGAATGTCAAATGCCAATGCACTCACTTGCTGCCAAGAGTGGAACGCCAAATGGGTCAGGGACTAGTGTCCACAGGGCTGCTCATCATCTAGTGGGTGGGTTCCCGTGAGAACAAGAACATCACAGAGAGGGGTCTGCTGACCCCAGACAGGCCGGCCCAGGGACATATTCTTTTATCTCCTATGTTTTCATGACAGCATATTAATTCACAGAATGTTCTTTTGGGAGGAGTGTGTCTTAAGCCACAAACAGTGGACAGCAAAGCCAGAAAGGATCTCTGGTTGTCTGTCTCCAAAATCTGAGTCTCCCCTACTCACTTGGCAGCCCTGCCATCCTTAGATGACGACCTCCGTAGGCCCTTCCAAAGCACCTCTCCTCAGAAGCTTGCCCACATTTAACCTTAACCTCTGTGTAAGTCTCCGCATCTCCCCCTTCACTTTGGGCTCCCTTTCTTCGCAGTCCTTCTAGCTTGTAATGAGGCCCAAACCCATAGGCTATGTAACAGATCCCCAAACCTAGTTGCTTAAAGCAGCCATCATTTCAGGATCTTTCATGGCTTCTGTAGGTCAGGGATTGGGTAGGACTTGGGTAGGCAATGCTGGCTTCTATCCTTTCGTGGAACTATAGACAATCGGAGGCTGGAAGTAAAACAGTGAAGAACTTAGGGAAGCTGTGAGCACAACATAGGGTGTCTGTCTTCAAGCCAAGCCAAGTGTCACCCCCTTCGGGGTGTGACAGTGACTCTACGTTGGCTCTCTGTGTGGTTAAGTGTGAGCTTCCTCACAACATGGTGGCTTTGGAGCGATCAGATTCTGTAGGTGGTAGCGAACTCCCCTAGCTGGTGTCACTTTTGCCATATTCTTTAGTTGGCCAGCAAAGTCACTAAAGCCTGTTCAGTTTCAAGGAGAAGAGGCATAGATCCTGACACTCAGTAGGAAGATTGTCAAAGCAACATTATGAAGAGCATATGTAGACAGGAGTCACTCTGTATCTAACAGGCTTTGCTTAGGAAGCCTGAGGTTTCTGGTGCCTTCATCTTTGCCTCTCAGCATGGAGGTCAAATTCTATCGAGGGGAAATGGTGATGCCGTCAGTGGGTTAAATGAGCTGGGACCCTAGGGTTCCTAGGTGCCCTGGGTATATGGTTTCCCTGTATCAAGGGAACATCTTGAGGCTTTCGTTGTGGCCTCCTTTGTCGAGTTCCCCTCTTCTTCCCACAGCTGGCAGGGAAAATGCTACACATATATGGGTAGCTTCTCATGTAGAAAGAGAAGCTGTCTGTATATGCCACCAAAAATTTGTTGTAGATCTTGTTTGATTAAAAGCACAAAATTTTGCCCAGTTTTTCGGTGTCTGTCTTGTGAACAAGTAGAGCCACCACTAACCCATATAGGACAGCTGTGGTCAAGACCCTCCAAATGTCTTAGTTAGGTTTATTACTACCTTGATGAAAGGCCATGACTGAAAGCAACTTGGGGAGGAAAGAATTTGTTTGACTTACACTTCCACATCATAGTCCATCACTGAAGGAAGTCAGGACAGGAACTCAGACAGGGAAGGAAGGAACCTGGTGACAGGAGCTGACGCAGAGGCCATGGAGAGGTGCTGCTTACTGGCTTGCTCATCATGACTTGTTCCTTCCTTTCTTCTTTCCTTTCTTCCTTCCTCTTTTCCTTTCTTTTTTGTTTTCTTTTCAAGACAGGGTTTCTCTGTGTAGCTCTGGCTGTCCTGGAACTCTCTCTGTTGATCAGGATGGCCTCAAGCTCAAAGATTTACCTGCCTCTGCCCCTCCCAAGTGTTGGAATTAAAAGTGTACACCACTACGGCCAGGCTATTAGCCTCCTTTTTTATAGGACCCAGGACCAGCAGCCCAGGGATGGCACCACGCACCATAGACTGGGCCCTCCCCCATCAGTCACCAGTTAAGAAAATGTCTTACAGAAGAATTTCATGGAGATATTTTCTCTATTGAGGTTCCCTCCCTTCAGGTGGTTCTAGCTGTGTCCAGTTGACATAAAACTAGCCAGACCAGGTCATGCGGCTTGGCCTGTCCAGCGCAGAGTGAACTTTGACCTCATTTGCCCTTTTGTTGGGGATCTCTGTGCAGACTACACTTTACACAGTAACTCGCCATACCGTTAGAAACCAAGCAGACCCGACACGGAAGTCATTGGATGGATTTGGAAGGAAGGAGTGAGGGCGGGAATAAAAAGGTCAGTCCACCCAACAGGGTAGAAGCAAATGCCCTCCTTAATTTTTCCAGGCAAAACTATTCCAGTCATTTTACGTAATCACCATGTTTATCTGTAACGATCTATTTTTAAAATCTTTATATAACATTGCACGATGGGCTTCCATGATGCCTTGTATGTAGTAGAAGCTCAGTAGATACCTCTTGAGTGAGTCAGTACAGTATTTTGATTAGCTAGTCTTCATGTGCTAGTGCAAAAGGACAGTGTCATCTTACAGCTGAAGTCAGACAGGAGAAATAGCCCACGTCGCTGCAGGCGCCCGGGGGTTAACAGCCCACAGCTTCGTCCGAGTTCTTGATGGAGTTCAGCAGCTTTAAGTTGTTTAAAATTTACCTTCATTAGTTTGTATATGAGTGGGGGTGGGGGTGAGGGCAGGGCACGGGCATCCCAGGGTGCACATGTGGAAGGCTGAATATAACACACACACACACACACACACACACTCCATCTCCAGATTGTACAATGTAGTCCAGGCTTGCTCCTCTTGCCTCAGCTTCTGGGCTGGTCTTACAGGCCTCACTACTATAGCCACGATCTTATCTAGATTTTGCCCTGTTTGTGAGATTAGATCCCAAAGATTCTACCAACTTCTATCCCCCCACACTGTAAATGTGTATTAAAGACAGACAGAATTCAGTAACTCAGTGCTTCATACATGAGACACTATCTTTTCTTCTTTCTTCCTTTCTCTTTCTTCCCCTCCCTCCCTCCCTCCCTCCTTCCTTCCTTCCTTTTACCATGCCCATTAAGGAATAAGGTTTGCACTCTCATTTTCTCTAACACAGGGTTTCATGTAGCCCAGGCTAGCCTCAAACTCAATAGGAGACAAAGCCGAACTCCTACTCTTCCTAAGGCACTGTTCTTGAAAGCTGTAGAAGGTGCTTGACCAGACTCAGAAGGACAAATATCACATACTTTCTTTCATATGCAGAATCTAGTTATAAACACAAATATAAAGGGAGACTATGAGGGACAGGAAGAGATCTAAAGGGAGGGGGGAAGAGTGGCAACAAGAGAGGGTATAGTCCTACATTTCCCTTGTAAGTACAATCTAGATTTGTGAGTTACCTGAGATGGAACTGCAAGGGCTTTATTGAACTGTCCGCCCAGGCAGAACGTTTCATCGTCAATACTCCCTCTTCCTTCCCCTCTACCCCGTGTATTACTGGGGACTGGATTTAGGACCTCAAGCGTGCCAGGCAAGCACTCTGCTCCTGAGCTATACCGCCCAAACAGATCCGGCTCAGTTCTCATCAATGCCGGTCCCGGAGGAAGTATGGGAAAGAGCTCCTTCGGAGGCTTGGCCCCCCTTGCTTTATTCCTCTCCTCCTTCCTCCCACTCAGAGTCAACTGAACCCAGCAGGGGCCTCTGCGTGTGTCCCTTGTGGGGGATGGGTGTGAAAGAATGTTTGGGGCCAGAAGGTTCTGAGTCTTGGCACCTAAGGGCTGAGTGACAGAGTGGCAGCTGGAAGGCTGCGCTGGCCTGGAGCCCCTGGCAGGGAGAGTCTGGGTCTGAGGCAAGTGCGGTGGCAGCAGCCAGACCTCTGAGAAGCAAAGGAGGTGCGAGAGGGAGCAAGGAAGGAGGAACACGGTCTCGGAAAGCAAGCTTGCTTACAACAGATACAGTCAAGGAGTGGGGCCTGCGGGATGAGAGAATGGGAAAAGAAGGATTTCCCAAGCGGAAATAAGGCACGCAGACCCAAGCCGGATCAGTCTTTGTTCTTTTTCCTTCTTGGGTATAGGGGCGGAAGCAACCGTTACAGGAACTGAGTAAAAGCTCATGGTTGTTTCTTGTTTCTCTTCTTTTCCTCTGAGCAACACGACAGTAGAACAAATAGAGAATTCCAGGAACACTCCGAGAAGGAAAATGCCCTAAGAAGTGTCAATTCTGGGAATTTTTAAGGGGTTATAATAATAAAACGCAATCATTTGGATTCGCATCCGCTGCTGAAACACAACCCTCTCCTGTGCTTTAAAATACCTAGGCACACGCTCGGCTCATTACTCACAAGACAGCTATGGATACATCATCTGTGTATTATCCACAACAGGAAGTTGTCAAACCAGACAGGGCCCCAGAGGCTGAGTACATGGGCTGCCAATCACCCTACTTAGAATGAAAACTAATGCAATCAGTCATTGGTCCCCGTGGATCCCCGAAGGGGAAAAGCAAACTGCTTTAATCCAGTTTGGGCCTTTCCAAATGAAACTGAAATCAAACATCAAAGATCTGTGAAGGAGCTGTTTAGCTAGGCACCGCCGTGCACACTTCTAATTCCATGTTTTGGGAAGCAGAGGCAGGTGGATCTCTGTGAGTTCAAAGTCAGCCTGGTCTAGAGAGTGGGTTCCAGGAAGATGGGTTTCTACCAGAAGGAGTTGTTAGCTTTTCTCTGGCACTGTGCATGCTAGAATATTGTTAATCCCAAAGACTGGAGGAGAAAGACCACCAGCCCACATCGTCATGGCCAAAGTAATTAAAGAAAACAATTAATTAAAGTACGATTTGTTATTCACGTACACAGGCTGTATCTCCCTAAAAGGCAGTTTTTAGAGATCAGCCTTGGACATGAGGAAGACAAGGTCCTTTTTTTTTTTTTTAAGTTTTATTGATTTTTATTGAGCTCTATATTTTTCTCTACTCCCCTCCCTTCCTCTCCCCCACCCCTTTCTACTCTCTCCCAAGGTTCCCATGCTCCCAATTTACTCAGGAGATCTTGCCTTTTTCTACTTCCCTTGTAGATTAGATCAATGTATGTCTCTCTTAGTGTCCTCACTGTTGTCTAGGTCCTCAGGGATTGTGATTTGTAGGATGGTTTTCTTTGCTTTATGTTTAAAAACCACCTATGAATGAGTATATGTGATAATTGTCTTTCTGGGTCTGGATTAACTCACTCAAAATGATGTTTTCTAGCTCCATCCATTTGCCTGCGAAATTCAAGATGTCATTATTTTTTTCTGTTGTGTAGTACTCCATTGTGTAAATGTACAACATTTTCCTTATCCATTCTTCAGTCAAGGGGCATTTAGGTTGTTTCCAGGTTCTGGCTATGGCAAACAATGCTGCAATGAACATAGTTGAGCACATGTCCTTGTGGTATGATTGGGCATCCTTTGGATATGTAGCCAAAAGTGGTATTACTGGGTCCTGAGGAAGGCTGTTTCCTAATTTTCTGAAAAATCTGCACACTAACATCCAAAGGGGCTATACCAGCTTGCATTCCCACCAGCAATGCAGAAGTGTTTCTTTCCCCACAACCTCTCCAATTATATGTTGTCGTCAGTGTTTTTGATCTTGGCCATTCTTACAGGTATAAGATGGAATCTCAGAGTTGTTTTGATTTACATTTCTCTGATGGCTAAGGATGTTGAGCATTTCCTTAAGTGTCTTTCAGCCATTTTATATTCCTCTGTTGAGAGTTCTCTGTTTTGGTCTGTACTTCATTTTTTTTATTGGATTATGTGATCTTTTGATGTCCAATTTCTTGAGTTCTTTGTATGTTTTGGAGATCAGACCGTTGTCTGATGTGGGGTTGGTGAAGATCTTTTCCCATTCTGTAGGCTGCTGTTTTGTCTTATTGACCATGTCCTTTGCTTTACAGAAGATTTTCAGTTTCAGGTCCCATTTATTAATTGTTTTTCTCAGTGTCTGTGCTGCTGGGATTATATTTAGGAAGTGGTCTCCTGTGCCAATGTGTTTAAGTGTACTTCCCACTTTCTCTTCTATGACATTCAGTGTGGCTGGCTTTATGTTGAGGTCTTTGATTCATTTGGACTTGAGTTTTGTGCATGGTGATAGGTATGAGTCCATTTTCATTCTTCTACATGTTCATATCCAGTTATGCCAGCATCATTTGTTAAATCTGCTTTCTTTTTTCTATTTGAAATTTTTTGCTTCTTTGTCAAAAATCAGGTGTTCAAAAGTGTGTGGATTAATATCCGGGTCTTCAATTCAGTTCCATTGGTCCTCCTGTCTGTTTTTATGCCAATACCAGGCTGTTTTCAGTTCTGTAGCTCTATAGTAAAGATTGAAGTCAAGGATTGTGATGCCTCCAGAAGTTCTTTTATTGTACAGGATTGTTTTAGCTATCCTGGGTTTTTTGCTCTTCCATAGGAAGTTGAGTACCATTCTTTTGAGGTCTGCGAAGAATTTTGCTAGGATTTTGATGGGCATTGCATTGAATCTGTAGATTGCTTTTGGCAAGATTGCCATTTTTACTATGTAAATTCTACCTACCCAAGAGCATGGGATATCTTTCCTCTTTCTGGTGTCTTCTTCAATTTCTTTCTTCAAAGATTTAAAGTTCTTGTCATACAAGTCTTCCACTTGTTTTTTAGAGTTACTCCGAGATATTTATGCTATTTGTGGCTATTGTGAAGGGTGATGTTTCTCTGATTTCTTTCTCAGCACATTTATCATCTGTGTACAGGAGAGCTACTGATTTTTTTGAGTTAATCTTATATCCTGCTACATTACTGAAAGTATTCATGAGTTGTAGAAGTTCCTTGGTAGAATTTTTGGGGTCACTTATGTAAACTATCATACCACTAGCAAATAGTGAGAGTTTGACTTCTTCTTTTCCAGTTTGTATCCCTTTGATCTCTTTTTGTTGGGAAGACAAGGTTTTTATAGCTCAGGTAGGGAGTTTCCAAATGGGGGATTTGGTAGGCAAAATAGGCGGGGCTATAGAAGCAGAGCATAGCAAGGTGGTCATAACAACAGGTAGTCATCACCTTTTAAAAACAAAGGTAGGGCTGCAAGATGGTCATTACAACTTTTTAAAACAAAGATATGGTTGCTGTTTCCTGGAACAGAAAGTACAGAACCATTTGTAGCTAAGGTTACAGATGGGACATAGCCCAATCCTTGAGAAACAGAGATTTAATCACAAATAGGGATGAGCCTAGTTAGTCTTTATTATAAGATGGCTTTCAAGCTTAAGGTGGAGGCAGGCTGATTCATTAAAGCCACAAAGTTTGTTTACTCTAAGTTCTTAATGTGCCACAATTATTGATATTCTGATGGCCTTCATTAGTTCTCAACCATTCATAAAATGCAGGTTCCTTGAAGCCTGAGATGCCAGTGTGTGGGATAAGAAAGGTACTCTACACACATGCGTATTGACAATGAGTTGCTGGAAAGCCTACCAGGAGCCAGATAACGTGGTGTGGACCAAAATCACGGCTGTCAAGTCAAAGGGGATCAAAGAGTTTATCGTAAGCCAAAATATGACTATGACTGGTAACCAAGGATTCAGGTAGATTTGTTTCCCTCTTGCGGTGGAAGGACGAATTTCTTATAGTCATACGATGAAAGACTCTCAGAAATCAAGATACTTATCAAACACATTCGAGAGTGCCAAAAAGCGGTAGGTTTCTGCTATCCGATGACATTCTTAGTCCGTGGGTTGATGGAAACTGTTGTCTGCTAAGAATACATTCCGGGGCCAGCAAGATGGCCCAGTGGATAAAGGTACTTCCCACCAAGTCTGATGTCATGACTTAGAGCCCCAGGACCCATGAGGTAGAAGGAGAAAAACTGACCCTTGCAAGTTGTCCTCTAACCTCCCACACATGCACACATATAAACAAACAAACAAATAAAATAAACAAAAAGTAGTTTGGTTTTGCTCCTGTTTTTTTAAGAAAAAGGTAGTCCAAAGGCATAATTTTATGAATTATCTGATAATTCATAAAAGCATTAATTAGATACCTAGAGATGGGGCAATAGTTGACTATTCAGAGGACTGTGGTGGTTTGAATGAGAAATATACAGAGACCCATGTATTTGATCAGGAGATACCATTGTCTCCTTTTGCTGGTTTTGTTTCTCAACAAGGTCACATGTTTCTGTGGTTTGAATGTTGTCTGTCTCCTAAAAGCCTTGAATATTTGGAGCATAGTACCCAGGCTGGTGGCCTGCTCTGTGTAGTCCTGGCTGTCCTGGAATTCACTCTATAGACCAGGCTGGCCTCAAGCTCACAGAGATTGACCTGCTTCTGCTTCCAGAGTGCTGGGATTAAAGGTGTGCACCACCACCAACCGGCGCATTTCTACCATTGTAATGTTTAAAAAACACAGGCTCGTAAGACTTTAGTGACCATGAAATGGAAGGGCCCGTGTTTAACTAGTCTGTGAACTAATGAGAAAAGGGAGCGGTGGGGAGAGCTGAGAGCCACTTCCTCCCTGCAGCAGCTGGACTGGGCTTCTAGGACCACAAGCTGCTGTGGTACGATGCTCTTGAGATAGGAAGTTTTCTTTCTTTGGCTTCCTTTTGCCTCCCTGACTTGCCTGGTTCTCAGCGGTAACTCTCTTGCTGAGTCAAATGTTTTGCAACTCTGCTGCCTGACTCTTAGCTCCTCTGCATCAGTGTTTATGTTTGTGTACAGCTTATTAATACGAGTGGAGTGGTCCCCTAGGCATGCTGGTTGAATCCCACCTCTTTCTTTAAGTGCTGGGGTGATCTTAAGTGATATAGCTTTTCTGCATCTCGGCTTTATAAACCAGTGTTTCTTGGTACTAATGGGGAACTCAAGTGGCATGGACATGTGACAGGGCATGCATAGGGCATGACGCTTGCTATGTGTTTTCCTCCGTGTCTTCTGTGGTGACCACTCCAGTTGTCTCACATGGTTATAGCTGCCTATTCTGCACGAGGCACTTTCCACATATATGGCCACCTCTTTATGACCACTTTGTCAGCAGATGTCGTTTCACAGTCTGCTGAAGTTGCATTGCTTTTTGTTTGTTTGTTCTTGAGACAGAGTATCTCTGTGTAGCAGCTCTGGCTGTCCCAGAACTTGTGCTGTAGACCAAGCTGGCCTCAAAGTCACTGAGATCCCCCTGCCTCTGCCTCCTGAGTGCTGGGATTAAAGGTGTGTACCACCATGTCCAGCTCTCCACCACCACCCCCCTTTTTTGAAGTTGCATTTCTTGACAAACTCTCATGTTTCTGTGGTTTGGATGGATGGTACTTGTCTCTTAAAAGGTTCATGTAGTAGGAATGTGGTCCCCAGGATGGCAGTTTCAAGAGGCTTAGGTCAAACAGGAGTATGTCCTCAGAAGGGTCTAAGGCATGCCTTGCTGCTGGAGTTTTGGCTACAGTCTTTGGGCTCCTCTCTGGTTATTTAATTTCTTTCTCCTGCACAGGTCCCCATAATGACATCATAAGATCCTTACAGAGCCAGGGCCTATCAGCAGCATGACCTTGAATGTCTAGAACATTTTCCCCAACAGTAGCTTACCAGGCACACTTTGGGTCCCAACCCTGAAGAGGCAGAGGCAGGCGGATCTCTGTGGGTTTGAGTCCAGGCTGGTCTACATAGCAAGCTATTGAGTTCCAGGCCATTTAGGGCTACGTAGCGAGACCCTGTACATATACATACATACATACAAACACACATACACACACACATGCATCTTGCTTTAGGTATTGTATGATAGTGAGACCTTGTGTGTATGTGTGTGTGTAGCTTGCATTAGGCACTGTCTGATAGTAATGACAAATGGATTATGTGTGTGTATATGTGTGTGTGTGTATATATATATATGTGTGTGTGTATGTGTGTATATATTAGGCACTGTCTGATAGTAATGACAAGTGGATTATGTGTGTGTATATGTGTGTGTGTGTATATATGTGTGTGTGTGTGTATATTAGGCACTGTCTGATAGTAATGACAAGTGGATTAATACACTCAATAAGTGGCAGAGCATGAACCAAACTCAACTTTTTCTCCACAGACAACTGACTGCACCTTTTCCAGAACAAAACCCAGTAGGCACTCAAATGATGCTTGACCAAAATAATGAGTTTCTCACCCACTCAAAACTGTGACCTACAGAGAGGTCTTGGGAACAAAGTAATTCAAATATCTTTTCAGTGCATCGGAAAATTAATAAATTTTCTTGCAAATTTGTTATAATTTTTTTGTTCAGCCTATGATGACGGGACTTACGTGCTGAATAAGGCTTAAAGGGTCAAACGAAGCTCCTGCACATTTCCCAGAAATGTCAGCGAAGCTCTCAGGTAAGAGCCATTGCTAGTCAGTTCTTGGCAGATAGGGCTAATGATGCCTAAAGGGAAAATGGAAAGCTTGTCACCTTGCAAAGGAGCTGCCCTGGGGTGGGTCCAGGAATATGTGGGTATGGAGAGCTGAGAACCTGCCAGACATCACCTGGTTCAATTCTCTCGTTCAACAGATGAGAAAGTTAAGGCTTGAAGAGAAGAAAATCATTTGCTGGAAGAAAAGTTGAAACCAGTGACAAACTTCATAGTCCGATATTAAATATTTCCAGCATCACCCGTCACTAGGGAAACAGCAGCTATCACTACACACTTAGGCAACAAGTAAGAAGACAGCAGTAGCTACCACTACACATCTATAAAAACAGCCAAAATTGAAAAAAAAAAAAAAACACGTGACAATAACAAATACTGGAAAGAATGTGGAGGAATCTGCTCTTGCCCCATTCCCTGATGAAATGCAGAAATGTAGCAAGGTCCAGCCACTCTGTGCAGCTGTGGCTGCGTAGTGAGTTCAAGGCCAGTCAGGGCCGAGTGAGACCCCTTTTCAGAAACAGTGAACAGGAGTAAAAGTCACTTGGGGGTAAAAGTCACTTGTTTGGGAAATGTTTACAGCTGTTTCCACTGGTCTGAAATCTCACAAAAGAAAAACCCAGGAAGGTTAGTACCTGGCTCTTGCTACTCTGTTGCCTTTCATGATTTGAAGATGTCTGCACTCAAGGTGATTGTCCTCGACCTCATAGGTCCCAAAGCGCTCACTGTTCCGTAGAAGGAAGAAGCTCCAGAGGATCTAAGCTTTAAGTCCTGTTTACTCAGGCCGAGGTTGTCTTTGTCCCATCTAGTGGGTCTATCTTTCTTTCGTTTTATGAAACAGGTTTTCTTTGTGGAGTTTTGGGCCTGTCCTGGAACTCAGCCAGGGTGGCCTTGAACTCAGGGAGATCTGTCCGCCTCTGCCTCCCTGAGTCCTTGGGATCAAGGCCTGCACCACCACTGCCCAGCTACTTAGCATAATTTAAAAGGAGGAAAGGCTCCTGGTTTCAGGGGCTTCGCTCCACGTTCCACGTTTGGCTGGACCCCTTGCTTTGGGCCTGGAGGTGAGAAAGAGGTCACGGCAGAAGGAACTAGAGCAGAGCCTGCTCATTTCATGGCAGGTGGGAAGAAGGGAGCGTAAAGAGGCGTCAAGGTACATCATTCTAGAACAGGCCCCAGTTGTACCTAGAGGTACAACTTTCTTTCTTTTTTTCTTAGCAGACTAGCTAGCTTGACAGACCCCCCGCCCATCTGCCTATCTTTGCCCCCTCAGTACTGGGGTTACAGGTACCCGTCACCAAGCCTGACTTTTATGTCAGTTCTGGGCACCCAAACTCAGGTCCTCAAGGTTGCGCAGCAAGCTCTTCACCCACGGAGCAGTCTCTCCAGTCCAAAGTGTCTAAACACTGAGCCTACCTATATCTCCTTCTCTTCCCGGAGCCAGGTGCCAGCCGCGTGGAGATGGCGGCATTGCGTCCTTCACTGGTTACCCGGGGCCTTTCCAGCAGAGTTGGATAGCTGGAGTGGAATGCTGCCTGCTCACCTCGCTGCTCCCTGACCTCAGAGACAAGGATCCCTGAGGACACTTTTATCGAGCCGAGAAGGACCAAACTCAGTATTTCACGCGCCTGTTTCCGAGTTTATCTTTCCTTAATCTCAATTGTCCCAGATCCAGGGTTCTGAGACAAGGATCTGTGCTTGCGATTCTTGTCAATACAACCTGGTTTCCTTAAAACAACCTCCAGAACTGCTCTGGATTTAAACTGAGACAGGACTGCGAGAGAGTAGTCGGCAGAATTAATGTGCTAATGAGGTACTAACACAGCTTGGCTCAGGATTAACACATTCAGGAGCCAACCAATTAACTGCCCTTCCTAATACCTCCCAGGCATTTTCTGTGTTCCTACTTGGTGAAGCTACTGGCCTCGGTAAATCTCATCTCTCCTGCGCTTTTGGTTGTTCTTTTTGCAAAGCCTGATGAGCAAGGGGAGTGGAATAAAAGAATGGCCTTAAAGACTGCTCGTGACAAATCCCAGATTGAGCTATGGTTAGACTAGCCACGCAATCATGTGTGGGTTTCGGTCACCTTCACATGTTCCTACCCACCGGGGTCAGGGCAGAAGCTGTGTCCTCTGGGTTGTAAGTGTTCTCTTTTGCCTACTATTCTGGAGCTGAACTCCTCTAATTAACATCTGTCAGTCAAGCAACTCAAGTGCCTGCCAAAGTGCAGAGAAGGTAAGCCTGTCTGGGTTGGAACGCCACACAGTTGAGTCAACCCCAGACGCCTGCAAAGAAAGGCCTTCAGAAATTTCACACCACACAAATACTTCCGTCCTTTCTGCGTACACCTAGAGCCCTTCTGAAGTATCTCTCCTCTTCAGGTTTTCTGTCTGTCAAGATGTTTCAAAAACCAGATCAGGTCAGGCAGTGGTGCCTGCTTTTAATCCCAGCACTGCAGAGGCTGAGAGAGAGGGATCTTTGTGAGTTCAAGGCCAACCTGCTCTGCACACTGAGATTAAGCCAGCTAGGGTTGCCTGGTGAGACCCTGCCTCAAAACAACAAAATCAAAACATACAAAGGAAGGGAAGGTGTTGGAAAATGTTTAATGTTTGCGCCTCTCTATACTGCTCCTCCCCCTCTCTCCTAGAGAGGCTCCTACAGTGGAGAACAGCTATTCTTTTGTCTCCCGAATCATTAACTGAACCCTCATGTGCTGATTGTGATTCTGTGCAAACCATCTGGAACACTAGGTGTTGAGAGGACAGAGGAGGAGCAAGTCTTCCAGGAATGTTGGGCCAATCATATCATTTCACTATTCTGCCTGTCTGTCAAAAGAAAAAAAAACCCCAGTTTTATAATATTTTATAATATATCCCTCTTCTAGACAGTTGTGAGAAAATGAGATGCTTTATAAATATCCCAACCCTTTCCTCTACCATCTACCTGTCCATCCATCCACTTGAATATCCATCCGTCTGTCTATCCATCCACTACCCCACCCACCCACCTTCAAGAGCCCCTTTAGCACCCCAGTGCCTCTTGTGGACCAATGTACTGAGTCCTGAAGACACACTCCCGGAACAAGACCTGCCTTCCGGCCTCAGGGAAGTCCTGGTATAGAAGGACACAGCCCTGTGATCAGACTTTGAAATAGCATTGCCGCTGTAACAGAAAAATGTGTGCAAAACACATGGCTCAAATCCTATGTTCCTAAGAGCTGAAGCTGGTGGCGAGTTAATTCACAGAACAGGCTTCGCTGCTTTAATTCCTCTTGGGGATATTTGGAAGGAAATTTTCAAACAGCAAAGCCCAGAATCCAGCGTGATATGTTTAATCTTTGAATCCACCGGGGTAATAGTTTGGTCCTTGCCTTTTTCCACCTTCCTCCTTTATCTTCGGGCTCCTGACCTTCTCAAAGGTGAGCCGCTGGTTGTTCCCTTTGTTTAGCCCAGCGTGTGTTTTCCCTTTCCAGCCGCAGCCCTGCCTCTGACAGGCACTGTTTCAGGACCCCAGAGAGCCTGGGCTGCAGAACACACGGGCGGGCGTGTGCGGGTGTGGGGAACGGTCTTTCAGGGAAAATGGCAGGCTTAGAGAGCAGGGAAGGAAAGAGAGAAATGGAGAGAGAGAAAAGGAAGCCAGGCAGAGGCTGCAGGAGGACACCGCCAGCCCTAATCCCCTCTTCAAACCATGGTGCTGGGCAATTTCTGTAAACTAGGAATCGGGTTTCCCAAAGGGCTGGCTGTGACACTCTTTCCAAATACGGGGCGAGGCGGAGCAGAATTGCCGGAATACCAGAGGACCTGGCTCATCCACGCGGCCAAGTCTCACAGGCTGATTTCCTTTGGCTGTGATGAACCAAGGGTGGGGCAGGGGTGGGAGGAGGTGGTATAGAAAACCCAGCATCCATCATGTGTTGCTTTTGAAAATTATTATTTTGGAGTGCAGGCTGTTTCCTGTCTTTAAAGCCTATTATCTAGTTCCCGTCCAGGTGGAGCCTGAGCTGCCTGCTAATTTAATCCCCTGGGTTTCCCCTCTGCCTTCAGGATCTCGAGACATTCAGGCTTCATAAAGAGGGCACCTTTGTGTCTTCTCCCCTGAAGGCACCCATCTACCCTGGCAGCAAAGGAGATGCTATCCTGGGAAACAGCAGCTGAGGAGGGAGGGTTGTTAATTGTTTGTCAAATCCTTCCACTCTAGTTAGATCCTATGCAGAAAAGAGAGAAGCCATAGCCTCTCCTTCATTCTGGCCTTCCTCTCCCATACGCAAGAGGGAAAGGGAAAGGGGCTCTTGGTTCTTCAGGCACAGACAGACAGACAGACAGACAGACACACACACTTAAAAAAAAGCCTACTTATGTAATAGAAACACATCAACAAACATACTATTGGTCCAGGAACCAAACAAAATAGTTTTAAAATCACACATGGTGCTGGAGAGATGGCTCAGCAGCTAAGAGCTGGTACTGCGTTGGAAGAGGACCTGCGTTTGGTTCACAGTACCCGATGGCAAGTGGCTCGTAACTGCCTATGACTGCAGCTCCAGTAGATCTGGCATCCTCTTCTGATTCCGCAGGCACCTGCTCTCATATGTTATAGGCACCCCCACTCCCCCAGGTACGCATGCTTAAAAGAAATCTTCAAATATCACTTGTAAGACTCAAACAACAACAAGAAAACAAAACAAACAAACAAATAAACAAAAAACAGAGCAAAGCAAAACCAGCCAAACAAAATACTCACTGTAAGCCAGGTGGTGGTGGTGCATGCCTTTAATCCCAGCACTCGGGAAGCAGAGGCAGGCAGATCTCTGTGAGTTCGAGGCCAGCCTGGTTTACAAGAGTTAGTTCCAGGACTGGCTCCAAAGCTACAGAGAAACCCTGTCTCGAAAAACCAAAAAACCAAAAGCCAAAAAAAAAAAAAAAAAAAAAAAAAAAAAAAAAAAAAAAAAAAAAAAAAAAAAAAAAAAAAAAAAAAAAAAAAAAACCAAACCTCACAGTGATGGAAAAAAAGAGATTCAGGGACTTTCTGAAAATCACATTTGTTCATACTGCGGCCAAACTGACTAAGCACACCCAGGCTCCACCACTCCACTGACACGCTTGACAATGATCCCACCCAGGGCCCACTCACTGGAACACTCATCCGGCACACATTTACTCCATCAGGGCAGGGACAGACGCAAAAACAAACAGAAAGTGACACAGACTGAGCAATAGCCTCTCAGGACTCTGACCTCAGGAGTCCGTTGGGACGCTGAGACTTTCTAAGTATTAGGTCAGCTGGTGAAGGGGGCAGGACCTGGAATATGATCTGATTTCTTTGAAGAGAAGCACTGCACATCATTACTGACCAATTCTTTTCTCCCTTGACCAGTTTTCATGTGAACTCTCTCCTCTCTCTCCTTTCTCCTCCCTCCCCCACCTCTATGGGATCTCGTCTCTCTATGAAGAACAGTTTTGCCTCCAGTTCCCACTTACCCACTTATCCTGGTGTGCCTTGACACTTGGCTCCTCCCATTTATCCTGGTGTGCCTTGACACTGGCTCCTCCCATTTATCCTGGTGTGCCTTGACACTGGCTCCTCCCACTTATCCTGGTGTGCCTTGACACTGGCTCCTCCTACTTATCCTGGTGTGCCTTGACACTTGGCTCCTCCTACTTATCCTGGCGTGCCATGACACTTGGCTCCTCCCACTTATCCTATTGTGCCTTGACACTTGGCTCCTACTTGGAAACTTAGAAAAGCTCTCTTGCTATTTGACGGGAACAATGAAAGAACTCTGTCTCCTATGAATGCACACAGTGGCTGTGAGGACTTTCATGAAGTGATAGTGGTCAAGGGACGAGATCATAGCTTCGCCTGTGTGACATTCCTCTGCCCTCAGAAGAGCTCAGGGTGCCTAGTTGGTCTGCCAATCCACACAGGCACCCTCAGTTAGACAGCAGGGCTGAAGCTTCCGTTTATACTAGGGGAATGTCTGTATAAATAAACACTTACTCAGAATTTGCTTAGTCAAAATGATCACGACATGGTTGGAGGCTTGGGGTTTCTTGAATGAGCGTTCATGTTCGAACTGAGATCAGCTGTGTGGATCTAAAAAGGATGTGACTGGTGAATTAGAACAGGTCTTATTGGTTACAGCAGGTAGAGTGGGGTGAGGCAGGCTTTCTTATTGGCTAAACAATAAGACGATGCTACTCACTGGTGGTTTCAGCCTATCACTGACCCACAGTCGTGTTGGATAGAACCAGCAGACACTCTGTTACTTTTTCAGTAATAAAAGGACACGTCTGTAAACAGGGAGGTGGGGTGCAGACAATGTGTGATACCATCTTCCAGCATTTAGTAGCGTTCAGGGGGAATACATGTGTCTACAGAACAGGTGAATGTGTAATATGCGAGTTAAGTAAATTGCAAAAATATATAGTTGTTGTCATGAGATGGTGGTTTTAAGTAACAAATAACTGGGGGAGAGAGACAGACAGACAGAAAGGGCGGGGGGGGAGGGAGGGACAAGCCAGTATACTATAAACATTAATGGGCACTGAAGGCTTTCTGAAATGATGTGTAGATGTGAGGTAGCAGCTGGGAGGTTTTTTGTTGAGGGGATAGGAAATGAGATGTACACTTTTATTTATTATTTATTTATCTTGGTGCTAGCAGTCATGGCAGGGATTTAGGTATGCTAAGTATGTGCTCTACCGCTGAGCTACACGCCCAGTGCTAAAAGATATACTTTTGAGGTTAGAGGTGTGTATGTGTGCATATGGGCACAGCTGGAAGCCAGAGCTTGGCTTCTGGTGTCTTCCTCTATTGCTGTCCACCTTGTATCTTAAGATCGTGTACCGG